GTTTCGGGTCTGGGGATCTCCGGCGTTTGTCCGCGACTTATCTGCGGACAAGCTGTCCCCCCGCGCTGTTCCTTGCGTCTTCCTTGGCTTCCCCCCTGACGCGCCTGGTTGGCAATTTTACCACCCCACCTCGCGCCGTGTTCTGTCCTCCCAGGACGTCACCTTTGACGAGTCGGTGCCTTACTAACGTCTCTTCCCCTACCGCACTGCGCCCCTTCCCCCGCCGCCGCTCTTCCTTGTGCCAGGCCCTCCCCCGGTAGACCCCCCCCCCCCCCCCTTAGGGTCCTGCCCTGTCTAGTATGTCCCACGTAGACGCAGTCGAGCCTGTCGAGGTAGCTGTGAACTCTGGTGCTGCTAGGGGTGCTAAGCCTGCGGGTGCCGGGTCTGGGGGTGCTGAGCCTGGGGGTGCGGAGCCTGGGGGTGTTGAGTCTAGGGGTGCTGAGCTTGGGGGTGCTGAGTTTGGGGGTGCTGAGCCTGGGGGTGCGGAGCGTGGGGGTGCTGGGCGTGGGGGTACGGAGCCTGGGGGTGCGGAGCCTGGGGGTGCTGGGTCTGCTCGTGTGGCCTCTAGCGGTGCTTCGTCGAGGCGGGAGCTACTCTCTCCGTAGGAGCTGCGCGAGTGGTTTGCCCGGCGCTGGAGCCGTGTTGTTGGAGCTGGAGGTACTACTGTTACTGCTGGTCTTGGAGGTGCTCGTACTGGCGGTACTAGAGCTGCTGGGACTGGGGGGGCTGCTTGGGCTGCTGGAGCTGGTGCTGCCGGAGGTACTGCTGGAGCTGCTGGCGGTAATGGAGCTGACGGTCCTGCTGGAGCTGGAGTTGCTGGGGGTGTTGGCTCTGGTGGTGCTGCTGGCGCTGGTGCTTCTGAGGGTGCTGGAGTTGGCGCTGTTGGAGCTGGAGGTACTGTTGGCGCTGGTGCTGCCGCTGGGGGTACTGGTGCTGTCCGTGCTGGTTCTAGAGGCGCTGCGCGGCTGCGGCCGTACTTCGTTCCACTCCTTGAGCAAGTTCTTGGTCTCCCGCCTTCTACTGGTCCTGCTCCTCCCTTAGAGTGTCCACAGCCTTTCCAGTCGCGGTCACAGTTACAGCTCGCCTCCCCACTGCCTGCTCCTTCTCCCTACACTGGTCCTACTGGAGGTCTTGCTGAGCGTTGTGAGCCTGCGTCTCGTCCTGCGTCGCCTGTTCGTGCTGCTCGCACTAGTCGTCGTGCTCCGCATCCGCATCCTCCCGTGGTCCCAGGCACACACCAGATGGCACTGCGTCCTTCCACTGCTCCTCTGCGTGTCCCGTTGCCGTCTCCTCAAGAGTCCTCTCTTCCTGTCCTTGCTGACCCGGAGTCTGACTCTCTTCGTGCTGCCAGTCCTACTGTCACGCGTCTCCTGGCTACTGTTGTCACTGGCCCTTCCTTTGAGTCCAGTGCTGCGTCTGCCTTGGTTGTTGAGCTTGTCGACTTTGCTGCTTGCTGTCGTCCAGACTACGCTACTAGTCTTGTTGCTGAGTCTGAGTCTGTCTGTCCTCCGTCCGCCGGGGGTGAGTTTGCTCTTAGCACGGACGTCCTTGAGGACAGGCAGGAGGAGTTCCAGTGTTTTGCTGGTGCTTTCCCTCATCTCGTGTCCACGCTGATTGCCCCTGAGGGAGACCCGGATGCACCAAACATCCCGACTCCTCGATTGTACGCTGAGGCGATCAAGGGTCCCTACTCCTCTCAGTGGCAGTCAGCCATGGACGCAGAGATGGCTTCGTGGAAGTCCACAGGCACCTACGTCGATGAGGTTCCCCCACCTGGGGCGAACATCGTCAGTGGCATGTGGATTTTCAGGGTGAAGCGGCCGCCGGGTTCTCCGCCTGTCTTCAAGGCGCGTTACGTGGCTCGTGGCTTCAGTCAGCGGCAGGGAGTTGACTACTTTCAGACCTTCTCTCCCACCCCGAACATGACCACTCTTCGGGTGCTGCTGCACATAGCCGCTCAGCGCGACTACGAGCTTCACTCTCTTGACTTCAGCACAGCGTTCCTGCAGGGCAGCCTGCACGAGGAGATCTGGTTGCGCCGCCCACCTGGCTTCACTGGGTCGTTTCCTCCTGGTACCTAGTGGAGCCTCCGGCGGCCAGTCTACGGTCTCCGCCAGGCGCCCCATGAGTGGCACGACACACTGAGGACTACACTTGCGGCTCTTGGGTTTGCTCCTTCTACAGCCGACCCATCGCTGTTTCTGCGCACCGACACCTCTTTGCCGCCATTCTACATCCTCGTGTACGTCGACGACTTGGTCTTTGCCACTGCTGACACTGCTGGACTCGCCCACGTGAAGTCCGAGCTGCAGAAGAGACACACGTGCACAGACCTGGGTGAACTGCGCAGCTACCTTGGCTTGCAGATCACCCGGGACAAAGCACAGCGCACCATTACCCTGACTCAGTCACACATGGTGCAGCACGTCCTTCAGCGCTTTGACTTCACGTACTCCTCGCCTCAGGCCACTCCTCTGCCTACTCGCCACTCGCTCTCACCTCTGCCTTCGGATGAGTCCGTAGAGCCGAGTGGCCCGTACCCAGAGCTTGTTGGTAAACCTCATGTACTTGATGACCTGCACACGACCTGACCTAGCATACCCTCTTAGCATCTTGGCACGCTATGTTGCTCCTAGGAGACACCGACCAGAGCACATGGCTGCAGCGAAGAGGGTGTTGCGCTACTTGTGCAGTACGTCGGGCATGGGGCTAGTGCTTGGAGGGCGACGTCGAGTGATCCTCACAGGTCACGCAGACGCTTCTTGGGCTGACGACCAGGCTACGCAGCGGTTGTCACAGGGTTACACCTTCAGCCTTGGTTCCAGCTCTGTCTCGTGGCAGTCTACCCGCTCGTCTTTTGTTCTCGGCTCCAGCTGTGAGGTTGAGATCTACGTGGGGGCCATGGCTGCACAGGAGCTACGCTGGCTCACGTACCTGCTGACTGACCTAGGAAATCCGCCTCGTTCTCCTCCAGTTCTGTGCGTAGACAACAAGGCCATGCTGGCCTTGTGTCGGGAGCACAGACTGGAGCACAGAACGAAGCACATTGCTCTTCGCTACTTCCTTGCTCGTGAGCTGCAGCGGCGTGGTCAGCTGCGCCTTGCTTACGTGGCCTCTGAGGCCAAGACTGCTGATATCTTTACCAAGGCACTTCCGCCTTGTGATCATCAGCGCTTCTGTACGATTCTAGGTCTTGTGCCTACTTGGCCTCACTTGCTCACTTCTTGACCTTGCTTGTACTGTGATATTTCTATACCTGCACTTGCCTGTTTACCTTTATATATGTTCTTGCATGTGAACTGGTCTTGTGGCCTTGCTCTTGTGCTCGGACTGTGTGGTGACGTTGTGATCCACCCTGAGCTTGCTTTGCTTTGCTTGACTGGTCTTGTGACCTCTTGTTCTCCCCCACTTTGCCTAAGGGGGTGTGTCAAACTCATATGTTATAGTGTGTGTAGGTTGTAGTGGGGTAGACAATATGGGGTACAACTCTTTTAGGTTTTCCTACTTGTACCCACCTGCTTTCTAGTTCATTCATTCCTCGTTCTTTCACAGATAGGGGGAAGGCAGGAACTGCGACCTAATTGGAGAGAACTTGCATGCCTTTGCTCCTGACAGAGTGTGCAGCACGCATTAGTGAACCTGATGCAGCAATGCCGCCGCTTCTATCGAAATCGTACTACATTATCCACGTGTTTCTTTCTTTCATTCTTTCTTTTTGCCTTTCTTTTTTCCATTTCACATCGCATGTTACGTAATGTAGGTCCGCATTCGTTATTGATTCGTATGGCGACGTGCCTACAGCCATCACAGCCCTCTTTGTGCTTCAGAAACTGTCAGTGCTTACCATTGTTGGGGGGAGCCAGGGTGGATGGCTGTAGGGGTACTTAAAGGTCCACAGATTGGGTTGTTGAGGGTGCGCTGAAACACCATTGGAACATGTGTGCTGGCGACCTAGAAAAATCCTCACACGGAGTATAATGCTTCTCACATAGTTGGGAATTCCCTGTGTATCTCTTGCTCTCATTACACCTGCCGCTCCATAGGTACTACTAGTTTTTCTATAAACATCCGCAAACCCTCGAAGCTTGAAAGGTACAGGACCTCGAAGCTTAGACTCTTGGGTTCGTTTCTCATATAGTCACCCTGCCTCTTGCATTGCATTGCGTTGCATGCCACTCTGTAGGGATCTGTCAAGAAATGGCTTCGTTGGAAGCCTGGAGATTCTCGGCCAGTTCCCCAAGTTGCAATATGTGTACGCAACTACTCCCGTTCCACCATTGCACTTTCTCACCTATATACCCACCTTCATCGTTCGAGTCGAGTCCATGGTTGGTTTATCATCAGTTTCCCTTCCTTGTCACTCTCTCCCACATGTGAGCTGTGCGTACCCCCCCGCCCACTCGTTGTTTTGTGCCCTCTCCACTTCCCAGCCGCTGCTCCCCTTTCTTTCGTAGCGCACCAGTCCGTTGCAAGCATGTAAACCCCCTTTCCCTCTGTCTGCAGTGGCCCCAACAGGCAGGCACATTGGAACACCAAGACAGTATTTTGACTCCTTTCCTCATGGATATGCATACGACCCTCCAACAGAGTGAGACTGATGGGGATGAATGGAATGGGGCTCTTGCTGCCTGCTGGTGCATGCCATGGAGAATGCCATGGTGCATGCATGATGTGTGTGAATCGCCATCAACATATTTGCAGAAGCTGTAGCAGCGTAGCAACATGGCTACGGAACAGAATACTATGTATGCTCAGGCAGTGAAGGGAAAATGTGTGACTGCACCTCAAGAACTTGATGCTTCGGAGGCTCTTGGGAAGAATCACTGGCTGATGTGATGCGAACCACATGGTTCTGAAGCACACAGTGCAGTGCTGCAGGGCAGCTCATGTGACGATGAGGCCGTCCGTGTGTGCACACCTTCCATGCCGCAGCTCGCACTCCACCTTCCTTACCGCAGCTCACCGCCTTCTATTCTCCTGACATGCTCAACTCCACGTGCTCAATGTTGCATGCACCCACCCAGATGGGGCTTCTGCTCCACCGTTTCTGCTGTGACTGCTGCTGCAATTTGAGAATTCTCAAAAGCCTCCTGCGCGATGGTTCTACCGTGGCGCCCTTTTACGCCATGGGCAACACGCAGCCCACAGAAAGCTAATCACTCCACCCCCTGGCCCGCCTCCTTTCACCCTGCCATCTGTCGCTCTCGCAGTCTTGTACCCATTGAGCAGTTTCCGCCTTTCCCTAGGATGCAAGGCTCTATGGACGACCTCTCATGTCTCGCTCCACTCACTCGCCTCCAGAACCTATATGCATCGATTTTTCCCAGCCTGCCTTTTCCCTTAATCTAAATCATCCCTACCCGCCCTCCCCTTCCCTCTAAGTAAACTCATCTCTACCTATTCTCACTCATTTCTACCCATCTTTTATCCCCTTTCACTCTTTCCTACCCGCCTTCGCCTCCCCTATCACCCCCCACTTACCCATCTCCCCACTTACCCTCGCACATCCTTTCACTTCTGAGTCGCCTAGGCCCGCCTTGCCCGGCATGAGCTCACGCATGGCGTGGTTTGGATTGCAACGCACCTCCATGTGGCACCTTGCATTGCATGCCGAGTCTCAACTCCACCAAACAGATTGAGGTGCTGGAGGCTCTTGGGCAGTCTCTCCCTCACCATGCTTTCTCATCTCCGTATGGCAAATTCTAGCAGACGCCCCTTGAGATCCGCCTATTGTTACCTCAGCAATGCATAAACGCCCTTTTGATTAAGCATGTAATCATTAGGTTGCGTTGCGTTGCGTTCCCAACAGCCCAAGATTGGCATTCTGCCGTACTATCGTGCTTCCATAATTTCTAAAGCTTCTGATATTCCACCGAGGCTGCACTCGGGCATGACATTGCAGTATGTATCACAACCCTGAATCATGTTCCTCCAGTACAAGAGCTCTGAACCACATCGCACACCCCCCAAGAGTGTGGCAAAGAAGCATTCTCGCCCCTACCTCACCGTGCATGCCTTCACATCTCCTCCACATCCCCTCCCCTCCACATCCCCTCCCCTCCACATCCCCTCCCCTCCACATCCCCTCCCCTCCACAGCCCCTCCCCTCTATATCCCCTCCCCTCCACGTCCCCTCCCCTCCACATCCCCTCCCCTCTACATCCCCTCCCCTCCACGTCCCTCCCATCCACGTCCCCTCCCCTCCACATCCGCTCCCCTCCACATCCGCTCCCCTCCACATCCTCTCCCCTCTGCTTACCCTGACTGCATGCAGAGACCTCTGCATCAATCAACTCACCTCCATGCCTTCTACCATCAGTGCCTTCTGCGAGCATCTGTAAGTCTTGGGTGATTGACATCGCATTGTTCTCTCATGTTTTTGGTGCCTTGTCCCAGAGGCGAAGAACATTAGCCTAAGCCACCTCCTCCCTCAGCCTTATCATTCCATGTCGTGTCTTGCTATGCCGTGCCTTGTCCTGCCATACCGTGCCTTGTCTTGCCATGGTGTGCCATGCCACATTACCCTTGTTAGCATGGAAGAGAGCCGAGCATGCAAGCGGGATGGCTTGCACCTGGTTATGGGATGGTGTAGGCGGCACGGAAACGGAGGTGGAAGCTCATGCGGCATGCAGTGCACATGTCTCATGTGCCTTGCATCATGCCATGGCCCTTGGGTCACTAAATGCTCACTCCTCACTACAGCAATTCCCTTCTGGGATATTCAATGCATGCATGTTACCATCGCCTTACTCCCTTCCACCATCGCCCATTCAACCTCTCCAGTTCCATGGCTCACAACCAGCTTCAAGGTCCCCTTCCTTTTGCCCTCGTTTCCGACAATCTATGGACTCTGTAAGCGCGCCTTGAAGTTGCTTGGTCCCGGTATGGAAGGAAGGACGGAGGCAAGGGCGTGTGCTCAAGTTGTCTCTTGATTGAGATCCCTCAAAACGACCACAATGCTCATTGTGTATGTGCGATTGTGAACTCTTTCACACACACTGCTGGTCATTCCCCCATCCCTATCCCATGCAAACCATGCCTCCACACAGTGAGCTGCAAGGCAACGCTTTCTCTGGCTCGCTACCCAACTTTGCTTTGTGGGAAACCCCTTGGCTTAGTGAATAGTGAGCTCACTGCCTTGTTCTTACCTTCTCACACTGTCAGCTCACTGCCTTGTTCTTACCTTCTCACAGTGTGAGCTCTCTGCCTTGTTCTTATCCTTCTCAACCGATGTTCATCTCTGTCAGCAATTCATGTGCCCTTTGGATTTTTTTCTTGTTTACTCCCCCCATTTTCACAAAGACAGATCTGATCTAGCAGCCACGAGCCACATCTGAACTAGCAGCCATATACCTAGCATCGCAGAGCTCTAAGTGGCTGGAAGTCACTAGAATATTCAGCAAAGTTACACTTTTCCTCACCTGCGCCGATCCACCATGTCCCCTCTTTACCCTTCCCACAACCGCCCACCATCACCATGCCCCACTCAATCCCCAGCAACGTCAGCGACAACCAGCTCAGCTCAAAATTCGGAAGGGATGAATCAGAGGCTAAGGGCTGATGACCTGATGTCAGACATGAGCTAGGAATTCACCCTTACTCCAACACTTGGTATGCGAGCTGGCGCAACAAGTTCATTGGATACTGCACATGCGATGATGGCGACATCTTTCCCCTGCCAAAATGAGGTTCGGTGGTGAGAGTGGGAGCTTTTGCACCAAAACCTCCATCAGCTTTGAAAATAAGGGGCTGGTGGGGGTACATACGATGCCCGGTTGAGCCCCCCGACCTTGCCTTACCCTCTAGGCTTATAAGTGATTCTGGCATTTCGCGGAGGTTTCGTCAATTTGTTTCAGGCAAAAAGGGCTCACCGTTGACTGTTTGACTGCAGTCTTTTCAGTCAGACTTCATTTTCTGTGGTTCGTATTGGTCGACGTGCTTGTAACGTGGGTGCAACCTCACGGCACAAAACCCACGGGTGCAAGGTTTCCATCTGGTGCAAGGCAATTTCGCATGTAGTGGGTGAGCATCATGTGTACATCGATGGTGGGGGAACTTGAGAATGCGTTGTTAGTGATACAACTCAGATTCACCCACGGACAGATGTGATGTAACAGTTACTCCCCTATCGGACGCCGTTACTTTTGATCTTGGCGCTGGAACAGCTGTAACAATGAAGGAAACAGTACACATGATGCCCATTTGAGCCACTCTCGGTTGCCTTGTAAAGAGGGCTTATAAGCTGTAACCCGAATTTCGCCTAAATTTCGTCGATTCGCAGCGAGCAAAAAAGGATTCGTCAGGTGCTTATAAAACTCTTCTAACCTATCCGTGGACATTTTGACTTCAGTCTCTTCAGTGTGAATTCGGTCTGTTCGTTACTATTGGTTCATAACCACTGCAACTTGCGCGACGTGCTCATAACGGGCGTGCAACTGGCTGGGGAAAAAACCTCGGGTGCAGGGTTTCCATCCGGTGCAGGGCAAATTCGCGTGCACGTGTTAGGCAAGGTCGTATCTTCCAGATTTACCCATGGACAGATGTGATGTGACAGGTACTCCCCTATCCGACACTGTTACTTTGGCACTGGAATGGCTGTGACAATGAAGGAAACAGTAGACAATTGGGCAAGGCAGTATCCACCCAACCCAGAACAGCTGTGAAATTGGTGGTACACCTGTTTCGCGCCACACTGGCATTGGGATGCACTGGCTATAGTGCGTTCTATTGCTTGGAACGTAGCGGTCTGGTGCTTACAACCGAACTGCAGATAGGTGACGGGCAAATGTTCTCCTGGTGAAAGGTACACAACGGTTTTCAAAAGAAAACTTGCTTTGGCGTACGGTTGAGTGCGGGAAAACGTGCTTAAAGCAAGGGTGCACTTTGGGGGGGGGTGGAGGCAAAGGTTTATCACTTGCCTCCACATGGTTACCCTGTTTGTGTTGGGAGTCCGAGCGAACCACACTACAGTGCTAGCGGACTTGCGCGGATTGTCTCTCCCCCCGTCGTCAATTGCGACGGGCCAACTCGGAGTTGGGAACTTGATCACAACCAGGCAAATTGTGAACCATAACGCTGTAACAGTGCAGCAGCCAAATGCTGCCAACTGCAATGCAGGTGGGCGGAAGTCAATCGTAACAGTGCAGCAACTCAACTCCAAGAACAGTGCAGGTGGGCGGAAGTCAAGCGCCACCTCACCTACAGTTCGGATTGGTCAAGCGCCCCATCCTGCAGCTGGTCGACCAGATTCCGACACGCAGCCCAAGTCAATCCCACGCACGAAAAGTACGAAATGCAGGACTCTGAAGTTCCGACCGCTCGCCGACTTCGCCAACAACACCGACGAAATTACAGCCCCGTAACCAAGCTCGCCGTCCAATCCCGTACCGCAATAATTCTCTGAATTTCACGGCAGGTTCATTTCAAAGGGTTGGGTTACCATTGAGAAATTCAGAGAGAGAGTCGCGACTTGGGAGTGCGACTCGATGTTTGAATGTGCTCTATAAAATTGTACTGTCAAATTTGTGAAGTCATAGTGAAATTTCCAGAGAATTCCAGAGAGCACTTCATCCCCGTCTCCTAGCCTACTAAGGCTGCTACTTCCCTGCCAGCAATGTTTCACTGGTTAGTCACTTCGCACGCTCCTGCCATATTCTAGACCCTATGGCTGGGCCGTCGGATATGACTCCGGAACTCTGGAACGAGTTTGTCGCCAATATGCGCCGAGAAATTGAACGCGAGGTGCGTGACCAGATCCTCGGTGAACTCCAGGAACGTGGACTCCTGGGCACACAGGTGCCGGCGCCAGCACCTGCTGTGGTCTCTGCACGTCTGAGAGCACCTGAACCTGAGCTTTTTCCTTGGAAAACGAGACTTACCTGTGCGAAGATGGCTCTTCCAAATGGAGGAGTACCTTTCCCTATGCCACGTGAACCAAGCCGAATGGGCGCGTCACTCCGGCATGATGCTGCGAGGTGCTGCTGCTACTTGGTGGCAGAGCTGCCACACTACAATTTCAACCTGGGAGGAATTTTCAGCATCGCTCACCATGAACTTCGAAACCTGTCAACGCGATTGAACGTGCTCGTGACAACCTCGCTGCACTACGCCAACACCGCTCCGTAGCCGAATACGTCAACCGCTTCCGGGAGTTGGTGCTGGAGATTCCCGACATCCCTGCCTCCGAGCAGATGGACAAGTTCAAGCGCGGGCTGAAACCAAAAATTCGCACTGAAGTGGAGCTTCGCGGATGCACGTCAATGGATGATATGATCCGTGTGGCGGAACGCTTCGACACGATCAACTTCGCTGCGTTCCAACGCTTCAACGGCATGAGGATGGGTCACACGAATCACACTCCAGCTGCTCGTGCAAACGGTCCTACACCCATGGAGCTCAGAATGATGGAGAGGCAGCCGCGAAATACCTCAAACATCATGTGCTACCAATGCGGGAAGATGGGACACATCAAGCAGAACTGCCCGAATCGTCGCAGCCCGAACGAAGGACGGGGAAACGGACAGCGCCAGTAGCTGTGGGGCAGACCTCTGGCGCATCGCATGCCCCGCTTCTCCCGACCCCATTGTTCATCGGCACCTCTGAACTCTACACCACATCAAACGCTCCATTCCCCGCCATCATTCTATATGCAAAAATAAAGAATCGCTACGTTGACTTTCTGCTCGACACCAGCGCTTCAGTAAATTTTCTCTCTCCCTCAATTGCTGCTGAACTTTCTCTCTCCCGAAGATCCCAACAGCAACCCGCAGGCCGTGATCATGGCAGATGGTACCCGGCGGCGCTGCGAACCTACCCTCCTCCCCGTGCATTGCATGTTTGGAAGTCTAGAGGCGACGGTCACGTTCGAGCAACTGCACCTCGGGGGGTACGAAGGCATTATCGGTCGACCATGGTTGCACCAGTTTGGACCGCGGATTTATTGGCGCAACGGAACTGTCACCGTCGGCAGCTACGACCTCCCATCCCACTCCTTCCGTCGACTATGGTCATCCCCAACTAGTTCCGCTTCGTCAACCCACCCACCCCAACCTGCCCCATCCCCATCTTCCCATATCCCCCCTCTCCCTCCTCCTCGCATAGCTCCCGTGCAGCAGCCAACACCACCCGGCTCTCCCGAAGTGATCAACACACCTCCTCCTTCTCCACCCCACCCAACCCAGCAACCACGCCGTCCCATCATCCGCCCCACCTCTGAAGTTATCAATCCACCAGCCCCCACCCCTCCTTCACCACCTCCTCCTCATCATCTCCTAGTCATCTTCACGGCTCCCGAATCTGACGCATCAGCTACTCCTCTGCCATCAACCATACAAAATCTGCTCAACGGTTATACGGACGTGTTTCCCGATGATCTACCCTCCGAACTTCCACCCGAGCGTGCTATTGACCATAGCATCCGCCTCATTCCAGGTTCTACACCGCCCGTGCGCCCAACCTATCGCATGAGCACTGCTGAACTTTTAGAGCTTCGACGACAACTCGATGACCTTCTTGCGAAGGGTTTCATCCGCCCCAGCACCTCACCATACGCTGCCCCTGTGCTTTTCACTCGCAAGAAGGAAGGTGACTTGCGCCTCTGCATCGACTACCGCGCCCTCAACGCCATCACTATCAAGAATAAGTACCCGCTGCCCCGTGTCGAGGAGTTGTTCGACATGCTTGGGGAAGCAACGGTTTTCAGCAAGCTCGACCTACGCTCCGGTTACCACCAGATCCGCCTCGCCGAAGACGACATCAACAAGACGGCGTTTCGAACCCGCTACGGCCACTTTGAGTTCCCAGTACTTCCGTTCGGCTTCACCAACGCACCTGCCACGTTCATGGGACTCATGAATGATATTTTTCGGCCCTTCCTTGACCGCTTTGTCATCGTGTTCCTCGATGACATCCTCATCTTCAGCAAGTCACTTGAAGAACATGCTCAGCACCTACGCATCGTCCTCGACACCCTCCGCCAGCACCGCCTCTACGCCAAGCTCTCCAAGTGCACCTTCGCCCGTTCAAGCATCGGCTTTCTTGGCCATGTCATCAGCTCCAAAGGCATTGCTATGGACCCTGCAAAGGTCCAGTGCCTTGCTGATTGGCCAGCACCGCGCACGGTAGCGGAGCTGCAAAGTTTCATCGGCCTCGCCAAGTACTACCGGAAATTCATCTTCAACTTCTCTCACATCTGCGCCCCGTTGACTGACCTCTTTCGTCAAGGAGCTGCCTTTCAATGGGGACTACCGCAGCAGACCGCTTTCAACTCAATCAAATCAGCATTCACCTCGGCACCGGTCCTCAACGTCGCTGACCCATCGCGCCCATACTTCATATGGACCGATGCTTCCGATGTCGCTATTGGTGCTATTCTTTGCCAAGACCACGGCCATGGGATGCAGCCACTTGCATTTGAGTCACGTAAGCTTCAACCGGCAGAGCGCAACTATGCAACACATGACCGGGAGCTCCTTGCCATTGTCCACGCAATCAAGACATGGCGCTGTTACGTGGAGCTGCAGCTCATCACCGTCTACACCGACCATCGCCCTCTTCAACACCTCAAAACGCAGCCCATGCTCAGCCGCCGCCAAGCCCGATGGGCTGAGTTCTTGGAGCAGTTTGTCCCATCACTTCAGATCATCTACCGCCCCGGAAAGCTCAATCCAGCCGACATCTTGTCCCGACCACAACCACCAGCCCCACCACCCACCAACCAGCCCCAACCAACCACCAACCAGCCCCACCACTCCCCCACCAGCCCCATCTCATCACCTCCACCTCACACTCCAAACCCACCCTTGCAACTCCATGGAACCAGCAGCATCACATGGGATGATGCCTTCTTCACAAAGTTTCAGCGCGCCTACAAACGTGACCTGTTTTTTGTCAAGCAAGCACCCGAGGACCCGGCCTACTCATTTGAAGACCCGTTTTGGTACAACGCCGTTACGAAGACCACTTGTGTCCCTGCTGATCGCTCCTTACGGCAGCTGCTACTCTCCGAATACCACGACACCGCTACCGGCAGCCACTTTGGTATTGAGAAGACCTATGCACGCATCTCCAACGACTACCATTGGCCACGCATGCATGCTGACGTACGTGACTTCGTTCGTAGCTGCCGAACCTGCCAACAACTCAAAGCACGCACCACCAACCGCTACGGACTCCTTCAACCCATTCCTCCACCTACCAAAGCTCGGGACGAAGTCACCATGGACTTCATCATGGATCTGCCCCGCACACCGCGCAACTACAACGCTATCCTAGTCGCCGTCGACCGACTCTCCAAAATGAGCCACTTCATTCCCACCCACACAACCGTCACCGCACCCGAAACAGCCCGCCTTTTCTTCGATCACATAGTCTGCCTACACGGTCTCCCATCCGCCATAATTTCAGACCACGACCCTCGCTTCTTGCGCAACTTTTGGCAAAGCCTCTTCAAGCTTCACGGAACCCGGCTGAAATTTTCTACAGCATATCACCCCGAAACGGACGGACAAACCGAACGGATGAACCGCACGCTTGAAGACGCCCTTCGTGCACAAGATACCGCTCGCCAAACTGATTGGGACCTCCACCTCACCGCCATCGAACTCGCATACAACAGCACACCCCATCTTTCCACCGGCCAGCCACCCTTCTACCTCGCAACCAGACAGCACCCACGCCTCCCAATGACCCCACCCTCCCACCTCTCCCACGCACCAGCAGCCTTTGAGTTCCTCACCTCACTCGAATCAGCCATTGATGCCGCTCGCACCTCCATCCTTAAAGCACAAGCCAAACAGACCCACTATGCCAACTCCCACCGCAAAGATATCCGCTTCAAGGTTGGCGATCAAGTGTTACTCTCCACTGACCACCTACCCCTGCTTCGCAAAGGCACAACCAGAAAACTTGCCCCTCGCTTCATTGGCCCATTCACCGTCACCCGAGTCCTCTCCCCGGTCAACTACCGCCTCCAACTGCCCAGCTATATGAAGATTCACCCCGTCTTCCATGTCCAGCGCCTCCGCCCTTTCCGTGCACCTTCACATGACCGTCCAGCCACACGCCAACTGCCACCGATGTTCGAAGGCTGCCCCCGCCTGTTTGAGGTTGCATCTATCACTGCTCACCGCGACACACCTCATGGTCGTGAGTTTTTTGTTCATTGGAAGGATCAGCCTGCTAGTGAGGACTCATGGGAACCCGAGAGCCACCTTGACCGCGCCTCAACTGCTGTGAATCGATACTTGACCAGCCACGGTTTGGCGCCGTGGACGACGCCACTTGGAGGGGGAAGTAATGTAACAGTGCAGCAGCCGAATGCTGCCAACTGCAATGCAGGTGGGCGGAAGTCAATCGTAACAGTGCAGCAACTCAACTCCAAGAACAGTGCAGGTGGGCGGAAGTCAAGCGCCACCTCACCTACAGTTCGGATTGGTCAAGCGCCCCATCCTGCAGCTGGGCGACCAGATTCCGACACGCAGCCCAAGTCAATCCCACGCACGATAAGTACGAAATGCAGGACTCCGAATTTCCGACCGCTCGCCGACTTCGCCAACAACACCGACGAAATTACAGCCCCGTAACCAAGCTCGCCGTCCAATCCCGTACCGCAATAATTCTCTGAATTTCACGGCAGGTTCATTTCAAAGGGTTGGGTTACCATTGAGAAATTGAGAGAGAGAGTCGCGACTTGGGAGTGCGACTCGATGTTTGAATGTGCTCTATAAAATTGTACTGCAAGCAAGTAACAGCTAGCAACCACAACTCTACCACACCGCCAACATCAGAGCATTAGGGCGCTTCACCTGAGGGGCGGAAGGCCAAAATCCGAACCGACGTATCAGTTTGACTGTACGAACAGTATCCCAAATGAGTTCGAACACAAATACGTACAATGAGCGGATGTGACACAGGCCATCACAGGTGACGCCATCGCTATTCGCACACGCGGTCTGTTCGAACACAGCGACGTCGCCCACAAAAGAGCGACGTCGCCAAACTTCGTTCATGGCGACGTCTGGCCGGGTCGCAAACGTTCATGGGCGACCCGGAAGACTGTGGACCAATCATATCAGTCGTTTGTGCGGAATTGTGTGTCACCTATCCCAACCTGTTCGAACAAACGTGTTCGAACGTGCGGGATGATGAAAATCGTGCTTGAGGTGACAGCTCTGTTCAAATTGGCGAAATTGTGCTTCGCGACGTCACGATCACCACTACGAACATAGGCGAAACGAGTAACGTTTCGCCTGTTCGAACGAGTGTGTTGTTCGAACCGACAGGTGAAGCGCCCTTAGTGCAGGCAATCGATAAACTAGACAGCGAAAGTAGCACAGTTACGCCGTCGCCAAAAGCGTGCCTTAGGGTTACGGCCATCAAACGCGCCCACCCTGTGTTTATCTCGCCCGCTATAGCGAGGTAGTCTTTTCAGGCGCTGTGAAAATACGACTGAATATAATAGCGACGATAGGAAATTGATCAATGGAGCAGCATAATTGGCTCGATGGTGATGGCGACTCGCATGGTGACTCGACTGGACGACAGCTCCCAGTTGAGTAGCACTCGATCAGATCCCGTCGATGTCTTTACAGCTCAGCAAGAGCAGCGATTTGACGAGAAGGAGGAAGCCGTTCGGCTCCTCTCACGATTTGAGGGGAGCCTAAACGCGGCTGCTCGTTGCAGCCGTTGAAACAGCTGTCACCGCTTTGCTGGCACCAGACGTGCGCGCTGTAGCGTCGACAGTAGAAGCGGATCGTGCGAGCAGCGCAATAGACGGAATCGGAGATGAAAGGCTCTTCACGGGCGTGAGAGACGCCGCTGCGACAGAAGCGAAGGCACCGATGGATGTCACCTCTCCGCGTGCTGTGCGTGCTGTTATCGGACCACCTCGTGGCCCTCTCGTAGTTGCTTCTGCTCCGTCCGTACGACGAATAGACCGTTTCCTGTTTCTCTCTTCCCTCCTCCTCCCCTTCTTCTCTCACACTCACCTTTCTTTGCTCTTCATCGTTTTCTCTCTCGCTCTCGCCCTCGTTTTTCCTGTTACCTCCCTTGCTCCCTCTTCTCCCCCATCTCTCCCTAAGCTGTTTCATCTTGCTCCCCTTGTACCACACCAGTCCCCTTGTTCTTCCTGCCTCTCTCCCGTCTTCTCTCCTTCGGCCTCTCTCTTCCCTTTCCTCTCCTGATCACCGCCTCGCCTCCGCATCACATTCCCGTTCCTCACCCCTCCCTGCTCCCTTCACCTTTTCCTCCCTCCCCCTCCCCTCCCCCCTCTTCCCTCCAGGGACGGCGCCAGTACTTCCCCTTTCCGCCCGCCACGCCCTGCTCGACCCGCTCTTCCTCTCCGCGCCTCTCCCCTCGCTAGACGCCGCCCTCCCCCTCCTCTCGCTCCCCCCCTCCATTTCCGCCTACACTGCGTACCGTCAAATTTCCACTCTTCTTCTCTTATGGCAAATTCTTATGAGGTCTTCTAACATAGGCCCCTCCCTACCTCCCTCCCTCCCTCCCTCCCTCCCTCCCTCCCTCCCTCCCTCCCTCCCTCCCTCCCTCCCTCCCTCCCTCCCTCCCTCCCTCCCTCCCTCCCTCCCTCCCTCCCTCCTCCCTCCCACCCCCACCCCTTATCCGTTTAGGCTGCTCCTCATCGCCATCTTCTGGCTTGCCTGACGAGGAGACTGCCAAAGAAGCCGTCAGGCCAGGAGGCTTAGAGGGCCCGCCTGCAGCTTCTCCTCCTCACACGTGTCCAAACGTTACTGGAGCAGGGAGCATGCAGTCAGGGGGCGTTCACAGATTCTTGGTCCATCAGCAACATCAGCCACATCAGCAGCAGGGTGGAGAGGAGAGTACAGCGTGGAAAGAGTGGTGTCCCAGTTGGCATCGGTGACGGATAGGGCGTCGTCGCATGCTCCTTCTGCCCTGCATGCTCCGTACGTGTGCTCCCTGTCGTACCCACTTCGTCACTGCCTTGCGTGCTCCGTCAGTGTGCTTCCTCACTTGCTCACGTAGCCCCACTCTCGCTCCATTGGTACTGTGTTCCCCGAGTCAGCGACCCCTTCCGACCTTCCCTCTTCCCGCTTCTGAGTCATCCCCGTCTCTGGTCAGTCTTGAGCCTCCTTGCCCAACCAGTCACTGGATCTCGTCCCTCATCTGCCAATCTCTCACCACCACTGCCACCACCACTTACACCCTTTTTCCCCCTTTCCCCTCTCTGCCTTAATCCCTTTGCGTCTTTTCCCCTCTCTGCCTCCTTCCCCCTTTCCTCCTTACAAACTCCACCTGAGAGGACCCCTCCCCACGCGCCACAGGGGATTTCTCGTCAGCCAGCACATCGCATATCTCGCTCGGACAGTGCACGCCCCTCGCCGTCGCAGAGCTTCTCCCATCGCCCTCACCCCCCTCTCTCCTTACCTTCGGATGCGCCTCTCCACTCGCCGTCGCAGCTTCTCTTGTCGCCATCGCTGCGCCGCCTCTCCCCTCGCCGTCACAGCGCCCTTCCCGTCACTCTCGCCACGCCTCTTCCCTCGCCTCTCATCTCCTCTCCCCACGCCGTCACAGTGCCTCTCCCCCTTTCCGCCGCAGTGCCTATTCCGGGGGTGTAACATCACCTCCCTTCCTTGTCCTCTCTCGTCTCTGCCCTATCCTATGCCCCCTCTCTGCCCTGTCCCATCCCCTCATTCCGCCCTGTCCCATCCCCTCATTCCGCCCTATTCCATCCCCTCATTCCGCCCTGACCTATCCCCTCACTTCGCCCTGTCCCATCTTCTCACTCCGCCCTGTCCCATCCCCTCTCTCCGCCCTGTCCCATCCCCTCACTCCGCCCTGCCCCATCCCCTCACTCCGCCCTGCCCCATCCCCTCACTCCGCCCTGCCCCATCCCCTCACCATCCTAGACGAGCAAGGCGCAAGGCTCAGACAAACTGCATGGACGTGCGTGCCGCCTCACCTTGCATCTGCTTTCATCACCTCAAAGGCGCAGATGAGCTACATCACGTAAAGGGACCGCCAGCAGATTCAAACGGAGCAAAGGCTCGAGCTTGTTTCTTGATACTGCATGCTTTTATAATGTGTATTTACATCTCATACAATGGTTCTAAAAGGTTCACATCTTGTCGCCTGACTTGGATATGGTTCTAAAAGGGCTACACACAATACTAAGAGGCTGTCATGACAGCAGCATGAACCTAAACTTGAGTACAGTATCAATGTGTTGTAATATGCCGTCGGATGGCACGAGGGCACACAGTAGCCTAAGATAAATTCATATTGTACTTTGTTGCTCCATGCTGCAAAGAAAAGTTTATAAGGGCGAAGGGCGGGGGGGCGGGAGAAACAGGGACAAGCAACATGGAAACTGAGTGGGCACAATGGTGGAAAAGGGAGAGCAGGGGGGGGGGGGGGGGGGGGGGGGGGGGGGGGGGGGGGGGGGGGAGGGGGAGGGGGAGGGAACGAGGGGAAGGAGGTGGGGGAATGGGGGGAAGCAGGGGGGGAAAGAGGGGAAGCAGAGTGGGAAATGAAGGCGCAAGGGGGAAAACCTAGAGCAACGGGGAAGAAAAGGGGGAAACAGAGGGAAAGAGGGTAGGAAATGAGGGGTTGGAGAGGGGAAATAAGGGAAAGGAGGATGGTACATGAGGGAAAGAGAAGGGAGAAGGGAGGGCACTGGGGAGAGAGGAGGACAAGGGGGAGAGAGGAGGACACGGGGGGAGAGGAGGACACGGGGGGAGAGGAGGACACGGCGGGAGAGGAGGACACGGGGGGGGAGGAGGACACGGGGGGAGAGGAGGACACGGGGGGAGAGGAGGACACGGGGGGACATGACAAGGACACTGAGAGGGCAAGCACAGGCGAACAGGTGGGTAGGCAAGAGAAAAACAGAGGACGCGAATCACGGAAATAGTGAGGGCAAGCAGGGGGGAAAAGGAGGGGAAGCAAGGGGGGAACGTAGGGAAAGCAAGGGGGGAAATTAGAGGAAGCAAGGGGGGAAATTAGAGGAAGCAAGGGGGGGAAGCGAAGAGAATAAAAGGGATTGGAGGGGAGAGGAAGTCATAGTGAAGGGAGGGGTAGTGCATTGTGAGGGAGTGATAAGGTGCTCTGTGAGGAAAAATCGGGAAGTGTGACATGGGGGAAAGGGGGGGAGCGACCTGGGGGACAGGGAGGAGCGACCTTGGGGGGGTTTGGAATGGCGACCTGGGAGAAAGGGGAGGAGAGACCCGCGGGGGTAGGGGAAGTGGAGGGGAAGGGGAAGTGCGACCTGTGGAAAAGGAGATGAGCGACCCGGGGGAAGAGGAGGTGCGACCTGGGGTAAAGGGGAGGAGCGCCCTGTGGGGAAGTTGAAGTGCGAGTTAGGTGGAAGGGGAAGTGCGACTTGGGGGATAGTGGCGGTGCGACTTTGCTCGGAAGGGGAGGTGCGACTTGGGGGAAAGGGGAAGTGTGACATGGGGGAAAAGGGAGTAGCGGCCTTGGGAGAGATGGGAACGGAAAAGGGATCGGGTTTCGTCCTTGGAGGTAACGAGGCGGCGGTGGAGGCGTAGGTGATGAGGCGCGACATGGAGGCTGCAAGCCGTTGAGGAGGCGCATCGGCGTGGCGGTGATGTGGACGCGATTGCATTAGCGGGGTGGCGAGGCGGCGATGAAGCGGCGTTTGGGAACTTACATCGTGGCGTGGCGAGGGATGAGGGAGGGATGAGAGAGGGGAGGACGAGATGGGAGAGGAGAGGACGGGATGAAAGAGGAGAGGAGACGACGTGAGAGCGGAGGAAGGGACGATAGATGGACGGATGAGAGGGGGAGGACGGGATGAGAGATGAGAGTGAGGGATGAGAGATGAGAGTGAGGGATGAGAGATGAGAGTGAGGGATGAGAGAGGAGAGTCCGGGATGGGAAAGGAGAGGGAGGGATGAGTGAGTGGGGGACGGGAGGAGAGAGGGACAGGAGGGATGAGAGAGGGGAGGACGAGATGATAGTGGAGAGGGAGGGATGAGAGGGAGGAGCACATGGTCCTGAGAGGATAGAGGGGGATCATAATGGATGAAAGAGGAAAGGAGGGAATGAGAAAGGAGAGGGAGGGATGAGTGAGGGGGGGACGGGGGTGAGAGAAAGGGGGAGGTCATGAGAGATGTGAGGACGGGATGAGAAATGGAAAGTGGGGGGGAATGCGAGGTGAGGAGGAAATAATAGAGGGAATGAGGGGATGAGAGAGGGGAGGAGGGGAAGAGACAGGGGAGGAGGAGAGGAGAGGAGGGAATGAGATAGGCTCCGGATTGGATGAGATAGGAGAGGAGGGGATGGGAGAGGCGATGAGGGGATGAGCAAGGGACGGAGGGGTTGAGTGAGGGAGGGACGGGATGAGAGAAGGACGGAGGGGCGGATCGAGGGGAGGTGGGGATGAGAGAAGGAGGAAGGGGATGCGAGAAGGTGGGATGGAAGGAGGGGATGAGAGAAGGAACAGGGGTGGAGCGATGGGAGGAGGGAATGAGAGAAGGAAGGAGGGGACGAGTGAAGGACAGCCGGGATGAGAGAAGGAGAATGGTCTGAAAGAGGGGAGGAGGGGATGAGAGAGGGGAAGAGGGAATGAGAGAAGGTAAGATGGGAGGAGGGAGGGGAGGCGGGGATGAGAGAATGAGGGTGGAGATGAGAGAATTGAGGAGGGGATGAGCAATGGGAAGGGGGGAGGAGCAATGGGAGGAGGGGATGCGTGGGGGAGGGAGGGGATGAGTGAGGGAGGGAGGGGATGAGAGAAGGAGTGATGTGATGATAGAGGGGAGGACGGGATGAGAGAATGACGAAGGGGAGGAGCCAGGAGAGGCGGGTATGAGAGAAGGAGGGGGGGAATGGGAGATGGGAGGAGGGTATGAGAGATGGGAAAGGGGGACGTGCGATGGGAGGAGGGGATGAGAGAAGGAAAGAGGAGGGGATGAGAGATGGAGGGATGGGCTGATAGAGGGGAGGACGGGATGAGAGTATGACGGAGGGGAGGAGAGAGGGGAGGCGGGTATGAGAGAAGGAGGGATGGCGGCCTCCAGCAGCTCCTTCAGCTCGTTCAGCATCGCGATGCTGCTGCTGGCGGCGAGCAGGTCGTCGACGTAGATCAGCACCTAGCAGGTCACTCCGTCGCCGCCGGTCTTGAAGTAGAGCGCCTCGTCAACCTAACTCTTCTTCCAGCCAGTGCCCAGCAGCACTCCGTCGAGAGCCCTGTACCACAGCAGCGGCGACTGCTTCAGCCCGTAGAGGCTCTTCAGCAGCTTACACACCCGGCCGGTCCCATCATCGAAGTAGTCCGGCTGGTACATGTAGAGCACCCTGTCGAGCTTGCTCTGCAGGAAAGCGTTCTTCATGTCGAGCTGCATCAGGTTGAGGTCGAGGACGGCGACGATGCTGAGGAAGATCCTCAGCGTGACGTAGCTGCTCACCGGCGAGTACGTCTTGTCATAGTCGGCACCGTACACCTGCGTGAAGCCCTTCACGACCAGCCTTGCCTTCTCGCGCTCGACGGTGTCGTCGATGCGGTACTTGGTCGTCAGCACCCACCGGTTCTTCATGAAGTTCACCCCACGTGGGCGTTCGACCAGCTCCCAAATGCCCATGCCGATGGGGCTGCGAATCTCTTCTTCCATGGCGGCCTTCACCGCCTCGCCCTTCCAACTCGACATTGCCTCCTTCACCGTCATTGTGGCGATGTCCCAGCGGTGTTCGGGGTCGGCATGCATGTCGAGATCGAGCTCCGACAGGTCTTCATCCTCCTCGGCGTCGTCGTACAACAGGTCGTCGTCGACCTCGTCGAACACCGTGGTGAAGGCAGCTGGCGGTAGGCAGGCGTGAAAGCTCAGCCGCTCCAGTGGCCGTCGAGCTCGACCTGTGCGTCGCAGCTCAGGCTTCGTAATTGGCACTTCCACCACGTCGCTTTCGGTGGACTCCTCACGCGCCGACTGCTCCCCTTCCTCGTCAGCATCCTCGTCGTCGACCTGCTGCTTCGACTCGTCGTCTGGCTGCTCGTCTGCTGCTGACTTCGACAGCTCCCCTGTCGACCGCCCCGGCTGCTGCTCCCCTGTCGGCTGCACCGCTGCTGTTGCCTCCTGTTCGACCGGCTCCCCTGTCTGCTGCTCCCCTTTCGCCGACCGCTTCCCATCCTGGTCCACGAGCTTGGCGCCTTGTCGACCGCCAGCGATGCCATGGGCCGGCGCCACAAGCGTCGCCTCAAGGCTCCCCTCATCGTCGGTGGTCGACACAGGTGCCGACCCAGGCCGATCTTCGACGGGGAACGGAGGAGCAAGGACAGGGGGAGGGGGAAGAACCTCCACAACATCCTCACCAGCAGGCTCGTCGACTTCGGCAAGCAACGGAATCGTCGCCGTCGAGGTGTCCGTTGGCGGGTGCGCCTGCGTCCGCTCCGATGCTGGCCCATACTTCGCCTTCCACACCTCAAGCGACAGCGTCTCGTAGAAGATCACCTCGACCGACGTGACCACCTTGTTGTCGGTCAGGTCGAGCACCTCCCAGCCCTTGCTATCCAGCGACACACCCAGGTGAAGCCCCCAACAAGCCTTCGGCGCCAGCTTCCCACCGCATTGCTGCTCAGGAACCATGAACTGCACCATGCAGCCCCACACCCGCGCCAGCGTGAGGTCGGGCTTCGTCCCGGTCAGCAGCTGGTACGGAGTCGTCCCCGGCGGCGTCGTCGACCGCTCCAAGCAGTTGCGCACCCAGATCGCCTGGCGAAGAGCAAGGTGCCACCAGTGATGCTGCACGCCCATGTGGAGCAGCATCGTCCGCACGGACTCGACGATCGTGTGCATCTCCCGCTCAGCCATCCCATTCTGCTGCGGAGTGTAGGGGCACGTCAGGTCGTGGACGATGCCCTTCCCGTTGACGAAGTCGGTGAACGCCTTGCCGAGGAACTCCCCTCCTCAATCAGAGCGACAGCACCGACTTCTTCGTCTGTCGTTCCACAAGCACCAGCCACTTCTCGAACTCCCGCAGCACATCGCTCTTTTTAGCGACCGGCATTGCCCACACGAACCGAGTATGGCGATCCTTCAACAGCAAGAAGTACAAGCCGCCATCCTTGGCAGCCACCCGAAATGGCCCGCACAAGTCAATGTGCATGACAGCCAATGCTTCCTCGGCGTCCGAGCCCTTGTCGGGGAAGGTGTGCCGTGCCAGCTTCCCTCCGACGCACGAGACACACGGCGGATCTGCTCCGGTCGACGGCGTGATGTCGAGCCCAACAGCAACTTCATGCTTCGCCGAGCTCTTGATCGTGTCGACGCTGACGTGCGCGAGTCTCTCATGCACCCGATCAGGGGTCGACGTCTTCGTCGAGACGATCGTCCGCAGCGCCACCACCTCGGTCGACTGCGACTGCGTCGAGCAGGGGCGAAGGTCGGTGCAGAGGATTCGTCCAGTATAGCGTGCTCGACCGAGCACCTCCCTGGTCGCGGCGACGAGCAGCATCTTGTCACCATCGCCCTGCAACAGCACTCCGCTCTCCTTCAGCTGGCCAGCAGACAGCAGGTTCGCCTGTACGCCCGGAACGTAGAGTACGTCGGGGATGAGGACTTGCTTCCTGGCCTCCCCTTGCAGAGCGACAGTTCCGCGACCTTCGACAGGCTGCAATGCCCCGTTGAATCCACGCACGTGCTTCACCCCGTCGCTCGGCCCCATGTCGACGAAGACCGACTTCGTCCCCATCAGGTGGTAAGAGCACCCGCAGTCGAGCAGCACCACCATCCGGTTGACCTGCACAGCTGCCGCCACCACCTAGAAGTCCTTGCCAGCCTCCGGCGCCTGCGAGACTGTCGGCTCCATCACGCCGACCATCGAGCGCGACGCCTCCCCGTCGCCCCGGATCTTTCCGCTTGAGCTGTCGACGTCCTTCGTCGACGACATCTTCTTCGACGCTTGCTTCTCCTCGCGCGCCTTCTCATCTCGACGGGGTCGACGACTGGCCGATCGACCACGGCCTCCCTTGCTGTCGTCCTCGTCGCTGTCATCGCGGTCGGGGCACTCGAAGGAGAGATGGTCGGGGTCGCCGTAGATCCAGCACTCCCGCCGTTGACCACCACCTCGTCGACCCTTGTCCCGCGTCGACCGCTTCTCGTCAACGTCCTTCGTCGACCGCCCACCTCCGCTACCACCTGCGCCCGGCTTCTCGCGCTGCTCCTGCTGACGATTCGGCTTCGTCGGTGCAGCGTAACTCGCCTGCGGAAGGAACTCCATGGGCTGTTCTACCTCCTACATCGCCTCATCCTGGAGAATGTAGCTGGTGATGGAGTCCTCGTCGAGGGACTCACGCGTGCCGGGTACCATCATCATCCTCTTCATGAGATTGTAGCTGCGCGGCAGGCCCTTGATGATGTGGCCTCCTGCTTCGGCGCCCGCCATCCGCATCTCAGCCAGCTGTGAGAGTACGACGGCTTATGCCAGCTATGCTTGCTTGCCTTTACTTTATTATGCTATTTCTAGCATATGATAATTATATGCATGCATGAATTGCTTGATTTCCTAGGCTAGGTGCTTTCCTATATTTTATTATAGTTATAGCACCGAGCTAGGTTGCGTGCACCGAATTTTGGCTTTTCGGTTGCCACCGAATTGCCTTCTACCGAATTCGGGAAGGATCCGTTCGGGACGCTTCGCGACCCGCGGAACCTTCGCGTAACACCTGGTTACGGGGCCTTGTATTGAGCCTATATACAGCCTCGTGTTGTACCCAGGTGATCATTCAATTCACATTCTCTTTTCTGAGCTCGATCCTAGATCCTCACACCAGGATCTGTCGAGCACGGTTGCAGTAATCCGTCGCCGCCTCTTGCTCGCCCATCCGAATGTGAGTCATCTTCTCCTTCAGCTGCCCGATGTACAGGTCGTCCCTGACCTGGTACGTCGACATGATGAAGTGCCATGCCTGGTGACTAGCATCGAGTCGCTCTCGACAGCTCCTGAGCGCCAGCTGCACCACCGGTGAGCAGCACCTCGAGATGACCATGAAGGTGAGCAAGTGAGCCGCTTGAAACTCCCCGCGCAGCTCGACATCGTCCACGGGCGGAATTGGCACTGTGCCGTCGGCGAAGCCCTTCAGCCCGGCGACCTCCAGCTGAGGCTCGATCGACTCCCTCCAGGTGATGAGGTCCCGTCGACCTTGCAGTGGTGCGATGGTGATCCGGTCCGGCGAGAACTTGAAGTAGCCATACGCCGGTGCAATCCCGCCTGCCGTCACATGCGTCGTCGCCAAGTGCCCTCCACCGCTCCGTAGAGGAGAGCGACGTCAAACATCGACGTCGACACGCGAGCTGCCTGCAGCCGCCGTCGTCGGCTGCACTCGCGCCTGGATTCCGTCGACACCACCGTCGACCTTGATCACCCCTCTCTGCCTCGTGCCTTTGCTGCCGCTGACTCGTGCACCACCGTCGATCTCGTCGTCGACGCCACCCTCATTGCGCACTGGTCGAGGAGATGCAGGATGGGAAGGGTGTTCCGTCGCCCACTTCGACCAGATGCCCAACTTGACGATCAGAAAGGGGATCGTCCCATACTCGCCATTCGCGTGGCGTTTCCTCGCATCAGCCAAGTGTGTCTCCAAGGTGTCCGCTATACCCGCATCAACTACGGGGTCAACCATGGTGACTATCGCGGCTGCCGGCCTACGAACGACTTAGTAGGTGCAAAAGTCGGCTCCTATCTGAAGGTAATCTGCGGGGCTGTCCACGCTCACCGCACCATGAGGAGAGTCACTCTACAACAGTAGTGAGCTAGACTACGGGGGTTGGCACGAACTACTAGGAGTAATCGTAGCTTTGCTTGGTTCCTTAGTGCTTGCACATTCACGGGAGAAATCGGCAAGAGTTTTCACTAGCAAAGTTGGAATTATAGAATAATTGAACAAGCAATGACAACAATGACTACATCAGGCACCTAGCAACCCTGCTGCTAGCCTGGTCGACCGCCTGCCAGCGTTGTGTAGAGGAGCCGCACCAGCACTGCAGAAGGGCGACCTGCCAACAGAGCAGGTCGACGGCATGCCAACGCTGCAGCAGAGCGGCTGCCCAGC